ACTTGCGATAAGTCTGTTTCCTACATATTGAAATATATGATTGCATGAGTAGAATAATAATTAGGATTGATATTGTGTGAATAAGATTTGTATGCATATAGGTCATGTGAACATAAGAGAACAAAACATAAATTATATGAAAATATAAGAGTTATATGGTATGACATATGTGAACATATAAGAAGGTATATGAGTTATATGTGCAACATAATATAATTGATTCCATAAGAATGACATGAGTTATGTGATCATATGAGTATATGACATGAGAAATGTGATATGTGAATTATATGGAAAGCTATTATGTGTAAGTGAACTACTTGTTTATATGATCATATGAAAATGTGATAATGAACTATGTGAAAGAAGCTATGAGATCAAGTTCCTATGTGATGTGAATATATGATAAACCTAATAATAATGCCCATGTTATGTGTGAGAGCTAGGGGTATAGTTGGCATGCCAAGAGTCGAGGGTTCTACGTGGTCCTTCGGACATATATGTAATTCTGTGGAACATATATGTTGTACTTCAGTACACTTATTTGGTCCATTGTATTATGTATATGGTTCTTAAGGAGTGGTCCTTCGAGACATATGTGATATGTGGTCCTTCGGGACATAGTGGTCCTTCGGGACATAGTGGTCATTCGGGACAAATTCTAAGTTCCCCTAGTGGGAATTATACGAGCTGTGGTGAGAACATATGTGCATAACCTCTATGTACTCACATATCTTAAGTTCTCAGAAGTATACATGGGCTTTTAAAGAGATTAAATAAATTCATTTGATATGATACTATGTGTACTCGTTGTGAATGATATGTTTGTTTTATGATGTGTATATTATTAGGAACAAGAGCATGTGACTAATAGATATAAATGATAAGAATGATAAGAATATTAATAAGACTAATGAAATGATATGGATATATATGTATTTATGTTCTGATGCATAATATGCGTTATAGCTTAATATGATTACATGAAGTGTGCTTAGTAGGAAATAGTAATGAGATATTATATTTAAGTTTAATTATGCCTCACTAAGTCATCGACTTAGCGTGTGAATGTTTCACACGTAGGTTTGGAAAGCGAGAAGTGAAGTAAGAGGAGCAAGACAGGTCAGCATCTCCCTTACGAATTCCAGATCAGAAAAGTAATGATTAATATGTATTTTGTTCTTTTGAATATAGTTGGCATGTACTATTAGATTTGAATTGAATATGCTCTGATATGTTTTGTAAAACTAACTAATTATAATTAATGTAAATGATTCATTTTCTTAAATAATGAATTTAAATTTAAATTAGTTTGTAAAGGAAAACATTTTGAAAAGTCAATGTGACACCTCGGACTCGGATCCGGGTAGGATACGGGTTGGGGATGCTACAATGTCCATCAAAGACAGCGACCGATACGACGATTGGCGGTGACAAGGAGGGCGATGTCTATCAATGACTTTTAGAAAATGAAGAGAGAGGGGAGAGCATTTTATAGGAAGATAGAGAATGAATAAGTGAAAATAAAGAAGAATGAAAAAAAGAAAGGAAAAAGGGGCTTTATAGCCCAAGAAAAACGACGTTGTTTTGCCCTTACCTTTGCGTTTTAGACCAAGGGGTCTAATCACTTCAGTGGCCATCACAAGTTTCTCTGATTTTAATTTAGTCTTTAGTTTCAGTTTACTTCATTTATTAATGTCCTTATCATGCTATTTTCCAATTTTATTTTTAGTATTATTTTTTTGGTTTATTTTCTTTCAGGTCTTCCAACATTTGTCGTGTTTTTACAATTTGGTCACTAATCTCTACATTTTTATTTACTTCGAATTTAAGACGCTATTTCATTATTACTTTAATTTACTCACTGAACGTCCTTTTTTATTTATGATCACGGTCCTTTATCTTATTTTATAACAATTTAGCCATTATTTATGTTGTTTGTTTTGTTTTTGATTGATCCTCTGTATCTTATGTTTTATTACAATTTAGTACTTATTTTAATTTATTCTCCGAAAGTTTTGGTTTTTATTTTTTTAGGTTATTCAACCAAGATCTTTAATTTTATATTTACTTAATTTAATTTTTATTCAATTCATTAAATTTATTTATTTATTCTTTTTCCTTTATTTTTTTATTTTAATTAGATTGTTTTAATAAGTATCATATTTTTCAAGTACATTCATTAAAGTATTTTCTTGTTAATTTAAATTTAATTTAATTTATTTTTTATCTTAACATGTTAATAATTATATTTAAAGTTTAATCCTTTAAAATAGGGAAATTTTCAATTTGGTCATTACCTTCATGCTCAATGATACAAATTGACTTTTCGAATAAAATAATTAATCCGATTAATGGTTATAACCTTAGATCATAGATTTAGTCCCTCAACTTTAGACTTCTCACATTCTAGTCCCTAAACTTTTAACTAGATTATCCTTTTGACATAATTGATTAGATTAACAATTAGAGCCTAGAAATTAGGTTTAATTTCATTTTAGTTCTTTAATTTAGGGGTAGTCTTAATTGGCCCTTGCATCAACATGCTCGAGGGCCCAATTCAATTATTCAATTCAATCATTGGTTAAAAATCAGATTGGATTAATATTAGAGACCTCACTTTATGATTAGTCCTTTAAGATCTCTAATCTTCATAAATTGATACTTTAAGTTAGGAAATCCTTTAATAAACTCACCTAGTAAAATAGGTTATAATAGATTGATTGTCTGCACAAGTTTTTAAAACCTATGGCAATGTTCACTTATTAGGGAGTGAATGGCATATCTCCCGCAAGATGCTCATGGGGTGAGTACTAGTGATTCCCGTAGTAGGTTGACATCTTTTCAAGACCTCATAATGATTTCTTAAAATCAAGGCAAAGTTTGATTATTGGGCATAATAGTTGGTCTCCCACATTCATGCTAGGGGGCGAACACTATTGACTTAAATAAACACCATCCTTTTCAACTGTGCATCCATAGTGAATTTTTAAATTAAATAAAACCTTGAACTCAAAATTTTTAAATTTTAAATATAGGGTATCGATTAGGTATCGATTTATGGGCATTGTGGGGGTGCTAGTCCTTCCCCATGCGTAACCGACTCCCTAACCTGATTTATGATTTTCACAGGCCCAAATTTGGTATTTTTGATAAAATAAAATATTTTATTAAAATTACCCAATTTTTGGTGTTCTTATCACACCTTAAAATGATTAGTGTTGACTCCCAACATATCACAAATCTTTTCAAAGAAAAACCCCAAGTCCTACTATTTTTTTCTTCACACGGGCGAAAAAAGGTGACAACAATATCGTTATCTAATCGCATGCTATGAAATTTATAGCATGTGAATGAAAACACATTTTGAGCGCTGAGATAACAAGTTGAGTACCACACAATAACTTTACTACATGAATTCATAACATAAGTATATCAATGAGTATACTCAGAGAAGCGATGCTACCAATGCCATATAACTATATATTCAATGCATATCCATAATCACAATACAACATCAAGGATAATGCTCGGGTCACGAAGCTCAAACACTCATCCATAACACACAATACCACAATCAATGATGAGACTTGGGTTACAAAACTCGAACACTCATTTACAACACACAAGCAAAAGCAAGCATCATAGTGTAATATTAGGTCACACGCGCATCACATGACTCACACCTTTCTAGTCTACGATTTGATACTTTTGATGAACTTGAGTCACACTCTCATTAAGAATGTACATCTAGTGACCTCACATGACCAGTATCTTGGGTGAAACCTAGCTAGGTTACATGCATTAAGAACATACACATGACTAGCCTATTCCTCTAGAGTAAAGGATGAGTCTAAGTCACAAGAGCATTAAAACAACATCCAACTAGCATATTTTTGGTGCCTCAACATGACTCTTAAGTTATCTAGATAACTCATCATACACACATCCATCAAACACAATAGACGATTGTCATACACAAGTAATTCAGTGTGCTCATCGTTTCCTGGATATCAACAAAGGCATAATAAGTCTTATGAAATCTTATCTCATAAGGTTCTTATAATTATCACACACAACATTATTATTAATCACAATATTGTTACCGAGTCTTCATTATCAAATTCTCATTTTAGAACTAAACATCACATCATGCGTCATTTACCATCCTATTATTAGTCATTCACGTTATTATCCAAGTATTATTATTTTTCTCCTTACTAATTAATTACAACGTTTTTAGGCTCTCCACTCAAGTCTCATATTATTATTCAATCATTTTTCCATTCAAACTCTTGCCATCACATGTTATTTAATTTACTTAGGAGGCGCCATTCAATTTCAGATATTACATCAGTCGAAACAAAATTACTTCTATTACAACGATTACACAACATAATAAATTTATTCTGTTAATTTTTATTTGTTCATTATTATTTTTTGTCAGTCAATGAAACTCCTTTATTTTGTAACAATATTTTTATTAACAATTGGTTGTTTGCATCTTGTTACCCATTCCAACCGATACATTTCTCCAATACTTGTTCCTCCCATTGGATTTTGCAAAGGTTACATATAATATACATCCAAGAAGAACGAACCCATTCAATCTTCTCAATGCTCTGTCTGCGTCCACTCAGCTAGCAAATCTCTCAAATTCGAACCATTTCCCATTCTTGTTCAGTTTATTCGAACCATTTCCAGTGCATGGGACCCTGGAAAATTATGCACGAAAAGGAAGATTGGACGATACATGCCAGTTTAATATTAACACTTTAGATCTTTTGTTTTCTTCCTAAGTTTATAGGATATATATATATTATTAGTAACTGTTGCATGGATATGATCATTTCTTGCCTTGTTCTTTATATTTACGGGTGTCTTATTTACCGACTATTGTGCCTGTAACTGTTGACTGGTTTAATTTACTAATAAAAGCTTATGAATTAGCCTATAAAATTGGACCATACATACATGTTCAAATGCACACAGCACTAACAACATATAAAAATTGAAACCCTAACTAAGAAAATGGGGAAGACTGGTTTGATTTTTATTGGGATCGTTGCCTTCCTTGTCTCCATTGCTTCAGCCACACCAGGAATCGCCACCTTTTATAAAAGTTATGTTCGTAAGTATTTTCTTTTTCAATTTGTTTTGAATTACTTAATCAAATAGTACTTTGATTTGGAACATTATATGGTATATATTGTGTTTGTTGGTAGCTTCTGCATGCTTCGGAAACAAGCCCCAAGGTAACATGATTGCTGCAGCCGGTGATGCATTGTGGAAAAACGGTAAAAATTGTGGAAAAACGTTCACTGTAAAGTGCACCGGATCCCCAAATGCTGTACCAAATCCATGCACCGGCAAGAATGTTACAGTGAAGATCGTTGATCACTGTCCGGGTCCAGGATGCAAATCGACCTTGGATCTTTCCCGGGAAGCCTTTGCTATTATAGCCAACCCGGTTGCCGGCATCATTAACATCGACTACAAAAAGTATGAATAATAAATTTCCTTTATCACATATTCAAGGATTTAAATAGCGGTACGCTATCGGAATAGTGACCATTATATAGCGGTAAAGGTATCGTTTGAAACCGCTATTTGACAATCACGATACCTACAATAGCACCCGCTGTTGCCGCAATTGCAATAAATGCACCGCGATTGCAACCGCAATTTCAATTCCTGATCATGATCATATCCATTGATTCTTCAATGTGAATAACATCATTTTCCGTGGTTTTGCAGGATAAAAGTTGGCAATGCAAAGGATGAAGTTTAAGTATCAAAGTTTTTGTTGTAATGGAATAATATTTACGTTTTAACTAAATTGATAGCAGTGTGTGCTATTGAGATGAAATTTGATTTTTTGTTCAAGTAATATAACTTCGCTTCGCTTCGCTTCGCTTCAAATAAAGGAATTAAAGTTTTTAACACGATACACCTTTGAGTTATACAATAATGATTTTATATTCAAAACAAAATTACCATAATCAATTTTGCAATACATGAAATACATTATAGAATATTAATTAAAGTGCGCTTCGCAAAAGTATATACATACAAGTCTTTGTATGGACAATTTTTTTTATAGATAATATAATTTTATTAAAGATTAAATCATATAACTTTAAACCTAAATTGTAAGCTTCGTTATAAATTCCTAAACTTAATGTTAGAAAAGAGTACTCCCTTAATTTTCATTAAATTATGATGAAAAACGTTTATGATAGAAAATATATTGAACTCATATCATCATACAAGCTGATACATCATTTTGCTGCTATGCACAACTGTTAACCTAACAACCAGCTAACAAACTAACCAATTGTTGGCGCCAATCTAACTAACCGATACTAGATATATTAGGGTACAGGTAGGTGCACCTAGCACTGGTTGTTGGAAATAAAACACTCACACAAACAACTTTTATTGAAACTCAAACAAATATTACAAGAGCACTCTCACTCAAAAACAAAACTACAACTCACTCTTATAAGACTTTGCTTCTTCACTCACTTAGAAGCTCTTAATTTTTCTTGATGCTTAAAACTAAAATGGGAAGGGGTATTTATACTACTCAAGAACAATCCTACACCACACAAATAAACTAATTTAAACCATTACAAATTCAACAAATATATAACTCTCACCTAACTAAATTGATGTAAGCAATGACATCATTACTTAAATGATGTAAGCAATGACATCTTTAATTAAATGATGTAAGTAATGACATCAATTTAGTTTGGGTTTGGGTTTAGGCTCCCATAATGGATCAAGTTTATGATCCAACACCCCCCTTAAACTTGATCTCGTGACCCCTAGTAGGTTCCTTAATCTTAAGAAGTCTTCGCTGGTCAGTGGCTTGGTAAAAATATCAGCAACTTGATCTTGTGACTTCACGTATTCAACTTCCACATCTTTTCTTGCAACACACTCCCTTATATGGTGGTAGCGAATATCAATGTGCTTGCTTCGATCATGGAATACTGGATTCTTCGCTAAGGCAATGGCTGACTTGTTGTCGACACACACCTTGGTAGGCTCTTCTTGTATCAAACCAATCTCCTTCAATAGATTTCTAAGCCAAATTGCATGACAAACACATGAGGTAGCATCAACATATTCCGCTTCATAAGTGGACAATGTGACAATCGGTTGTTTCTTTGACATCCATGTGAACGCAATATCTCCCATGAAAAATACGAATCCAGTAGTGCTCCTTCGATTATCTATGTCTCCACCCCAATCACTGTCGCTATATCCAACATGCTTGTAATCATTAGAAACTGAATAGAACAAGCCAAAGTCAATTGTACCTTTCAGATAGCGAAGAATTCTCTTTGCGGCTTTAAAATGGGTGGTTGTTGGAGATTCCATGTAGCGACTAACCAATCCAACTGCGTGAAGAATATCGGGTCTCGTGCAAGTTAGATAGCGTAGACTTCCTACCAAACTTTTGAAGAATTGGATCTACACTTTCGCCTTCTTCATGTTTGGTCATCTTGATCCCGTATTCTGTCGGTGTTCTTATTGGCTTACAGTTCTCCATCTTGAACTTCTTCAGTATCTCCTTTGCATAGCTTTCCTATGAAATGAAAATTCCATCATTTTGTTGCTTAACTTCAATGCCAAGGTAGTACGCCATGAGCCCCATGTCTGTCATCTCGAATTCTTTCATCATCACATCCTTGAATTCATTAAACATGATTGGGTTACTTCCAGTGAAGATCAAATCGTCAACGTAGAGGCACACGATCAAAATATCTCCATCTTTGATCTTGATATATAGAGCATGCTCATAGGGACATTTGTTGAAGCCATTCACTTGGAAGAGCCTTCTTTAACACCAACACCTTGTCTTCGTGCCCTTTGACTTCATAGCCTGATGGTTGCTGAATGTAAACTTCCTCTTCAAGAACTCCATTTAGGAAGGCAGACTTTACATCCATCTGTTGTATCTTCCACTTGTTTTGAGCTGCCAAAGAAATGATTAGTCTGATAGTCTCCAATCGAGCAACATGAGCAAATACCTCATCATAGTCAATTCCAGCCTTTTGACTATAGCCTTTAGCAACTAGCCTCGCCTTGTGCCTTTCAATCTCTCCTTTGTCGTTTTGCTTTGTTTTGTACACCCATTTGACACCTATCGCCTTATGTCCCTTGGGAAGTGAGGTAAGTTCTCATGTGTCATTCTTCTCGATGGCCTTGATTTCTTCGTCCATCGCATCTCTCCATTTCTTTTCTTGTACCGTTTCTTGAAAGCTCACTGGTTCACAATCGGCAAACAAACAAAATAATGTAAGATTATCTTATCGTTCAGTTACCCCATAGAGATCTCTAAGGCTTCTTGTGCGTTGCATAACTCTTTCACTTTGACTCCCACTTGACGATGATGAAGGTGATGAGTCTCCTTGAGTGGTTGATGTTGGTGAAGTGGGTGGAGTTGCAAGCTCTTGTTGAGATTCATTTAGTTGCTCCCTCATTGTCTGCTCATCTTCTTCAAACTGAGGAAAGAAATTGAAGTCATCTGTATGAGAGTTAAAATCCCATTCTCATTCTTCGTTAAAGACACATCTCGACTAATAACAAACTTCTTATTGTCTGGATTGTACAACTTGTAGCCCTTCGAATTAGCATCATAGCCGATGAAGATAAAACTCTCGCTTTTATCATCAAGCTTCGTTCTTCTCTCGTCTGGTACGTGAACATGGGCTATACTTCCAAAGGTTCTCAAGTGGGAAATGCCAGGCTTTCTTCCACTCCATGCCTCTTGCGGTGTCTTTCCCCATACACTTCTTGTTGGAGATCGATTTGACAAGTAGACTGCACACGATACTGCTTCCGCCCAAAATTCTTTGGGTAGTTTCTTGCTTTTGAGCATGCTTCGTGCCATATCGAGGATTGTTCTATTCTTTCTTTCTGCCACACCATTTTGCTGGGGGGATCTAGGAACTGTCATTGGTCGACGAATTCCATTTGCTTCACAAAACTCTTGAAACTCCTTGGAAGTAAATTCTCCACCTCGGTCTGATCTCATGGCTTTGATCTTTCTACCGCTTTCTCTTTCCACTGCTGCTTTGAACTTCTTGAAGACTTCAAAAATTCTGACTTCTGTTTCAAGAAATATACCCAGGTTTTTCTTGAAAAATCATCAATGAAGAGAAGAAAATAGTTACTGTTACCGAGAGAGCTCGGATTGATCGGTCCACACACATCGGTATGGATGAGCTCGAGTGGCTTCTTGGCTCTTGTCTCTGACTCCTTTGGAAAGCTTTTCCTGAATTGTTTCCCAGCTAGACATCCTTCACAAAGCTGATCAGGATGGTTGATGCGAGGTAGTCCCTTCACCATCTCCTTCTTAGATAGCAGCTCTAGACCTCCAAAATTGAGATGCCCAAATCGAAGATGCCAAAGCCATGATGCATCTTTATAGCAAGCTTTCAAGCACTTTGCAACATCATTTTGTATGTTGATCAAGAACATTCTCTTCTTTGACATCGGCACTTTAGCAATGAAGTTATTCTTATCATCTTTTATAGAAAGATTATAATTATTCATATGAATATCATAACCTTTCTTTACCAGTTGCCCTAAACTTAAGATGTTACTTTTCATATTGGGCACATAGTAGACATTTGAAATAAATTGATGTCTCCCATCTTTCAAACGGATAAGAATGTTACCTCTCCCTTTCACTGCTATTGTGGAATCATCTCCAAACGAAACATTTCCGCTTACTGACTCGTCTAGCTCCACGAACATGTCTTTCCTTCCACACATGTGATTGCTTGCACCACTGTCAAGATACCAGGAATTTGCTTGGCCACCATCAGTTTCCTTTCGTGCTAGAAGAAGAGTTTCTTTGCCATCTGTCTTTTCCTTCACGTAGTTAGCCTTCTCCTCAATTTTGTTGTTGGGAGCTCTACATTCTGAAGCATAATGCCCAAACTTTTGACAATTATAACATCAAACTTGAGATTTGTCACGCCTTGAGTTTGGATTGATTCTTCCATAGCCTCGTGTTGAGCTTTCTCTTTTCTCATAGTTGTTGTTGGAATTATTGTTGTTGTAATTCCAGCCTCGTCCACGACCTCGACTTCCACCTTGTCCATGGCCTCTACCTCTGCCTTGGCCACGTTGGTTTCTATCATTGTTGGCTTTCATGCATATCTTTGAGTTGCAGCTTGAGGAGTTGCTCAGTAAACTCATGCTTCTTCTTATGCTTCTCTTCGTATGCTTAATGATCCTTGGAGTTGCTCGATCATCATTTCTTCCAAGTCTTTAGTTTCTTCAATCGTCACGACGATTTCTCAAATTGGGATCCAACGAACAGAGTATCTTCTCTATTATCCTCACATCGTCTAACTTTTCACCATTTCTTTTTAATTGATTAGAAACAACTACTACTCTTGAGAAATAATCTGAAATAGACTCAGATGCTTTCATGTTTAAGGATTCGAATTCACCTCTTAATGTTTGGAGACGAACCTTCTTCAATTGCTCAGATCCTTTGTAAGAGGTTTGCAGCTTCTCCCACGCTTCCTTGCTAGAGCTTGCACTTGAAATCTTTTCAAAACCATCATCATCTAATGCTTGATAGATGAGGTAGAGAGCCTTCTTGTCTCTCTTTCTTGAATCCTTCAAAGTTGTCTTTTGATCTGGTGTAAGAGTAGCAAAAGCATCATCATTCTCAGGCTCGTTATAGCCTTTTTCTATGATATCCCACACATCTTGTGATCCAAGAAGTGCCTTCATTTTGATACTCCAATTGTCGTAGTTGTTGTTGTTGAGTGTCGGAACTTGGAATGGTGCCATACCATTTGCCATATCTCTCAATATAATGAGATTTTGTAAAATCCGATTGCACGAATGAATCCGGAACGCCAAAAAAACC